ACACACTAATACTGTCAATTTATGTTACTTACACAATATTTAAACGGCTGAGTAACTTTTTAGACAGTATGTATTCATCAACAGAGTAGAGTGAGTGTGTTAAGTATCACTTTAGTGCTATTTTAAATCGTGCTTTTCAATTCATAAGACTTTCAAAATCAGGTGACAGATTATTGAAAATTTTGTTCCTAGCTTTCCTGAAAGAATGAGAGGTTAACAGGTGGCTTTTCAAGTACCTAGACAAACAGCATCGATGGCAGAATGCTTAACAAATGTGGAGTAGTCAGTGGAAAGAGAACATGGAAGGCATACTAATGTGTCATTTTATCACGACGACCTCACCTGGGATCGAACCAAGGCCGTAGTAGTGGACATTTCACTTAATTCACTGAATATTATGAGGGTGATCAAATTAATGAATATCAAGATTTCTAAGGCGTGTTGCAAGCATAGTAATATGAAATGCATGACCATTTTAGTGAGGAAATCCTAAGGAAGGAGACAAGATGGACGCCCTGGAAGTAGATTAGAGATATTAAACGAGTCTTAAAAATATGGTAAGAATATATTAACTGGTTTCATCTGGCTCTGGATAGGGTCCAGTGGTGGACTTTTGTGAACACGGTAATAAATTTTCAGATTCGATGAAGCGTAAGGTAACAAACCGCAGCAATTCTGGAGTTCAGTTTCTTTCTATAGGGTTAGTGACCTTTGCAGTGACCCAGAACAATCCTCCCCACTTCTGTATGGGTGTTCCAAAACTGTTATTTTCCTTGGAAAGTAGGCGTACACTGGTACATAGTTCTCCTTATTTTAACAAAGTGTTAACCCTGAATACCGCCCAATTGCTCTGTCCCCACAGCCTAGTTAATTAAACATGTTTGTCCATGAAACAGCCCGCAGATCACTCCTTCATTTATTTATTTACAGCTCTTTCACTGCTATTTCAGGAAGTGGGATCCTCCCGTTGGCTACAGAGCGAGTCTTTGAAAAGATGCGTGCGCAAACCGGCGGATGTTACAAAACAGGATACAATTTCAGAAGGGAAAAGGGGGAGGTATAATACGCATTTACTTCGCACAAGTTTCTCAAAAATTCTCCGTTGAACAAAATAAGTATAAATATTTCTATCATCTTGGATAAAATGTCATGTATTCCAATGGAAATCGACGTTTCGGAGAAAAGGTTTGCTTCAATCTTCGGCCTCAAAGAATAAATCAAGCAAGAAACCGCATGAAACAGGTAGCAATCAGTCTACTTGCTATGTCTTCTAAAATTAATTCCTTGTTCCTATTCTTCTTTATCTACGTGGTTTAGATATCTTTGATCTGTTCTAATTCAGTTGTGCAAGCAATCTTCTCTAAAAAATAGAGACAGTACTTCATTCTAAATCTTCGGCATTAATATGACATAACACACGGCGTCACATTCCAGAAGCTCGATGGTTTGTATTGTAGGACATGTTTGGGAAATCTTTCTTCCTTCAGACATATTAAACGTCGATACCATCCTAATTTGCGTTCGTGTACCTTCATTTGAATCAAATTTTTACGAGCACGTCTTGTTCCTAATTAAACATTTCGTTGTTGATGTATTACTTTAATTAATTCAATGGGCAGAGTCCGTCTTGGGAATCTGATCTTTTTTCATAAGTTAAAGACCTTCCTTTGCTTTTATAAAACTCTTTCCTTCTTCATTTTTTTTTGTTTCTTTCTTGCGTCTTCCCCTTTTCTCTTGAATACAGCAGAAATATGGTCTTGCGTATGGCTCCTCAAAGGCACTCCGTCAGTAACACCTCGGAGATAATTTCCTGCCTTTGCAGTTACAGAAGAATCAAGGGTCCAGTTAAACTGGGACAACATGTGCCGTTTTGTTAGAGGACTGTACCCAAGTTGTGAAACAGGAAGTGTTGATTGCTGTGTGGCAACTCCACTGCGCCCCAGACAGAGTCGTGGAGCTCTGGGGATTCGACACGAACATCCTTTGTAACAAGCGCATCGAAATTCAGCACCATATCATGCTGAAATTCTTCCAACACGCGAGTCCTTTCATCGCTTCTCTAGAAAAGAGCTGCATGTCTATTAAAGGCCTGTAGTCTTGCCGTAAAAATTTCCACAGTCCTTCATTCAGTGGCGCTACTGCTGCTTCCAATTGAACCCTTTTATACGGCACACGTAACGAGGAGGCACTTCAAACACATTGACACACTAAGGTCTGTGAAAATCGATAAACCGGAAAAAAAATTCTGAGTGACGTAGAAAGTAGCAGACTAAATGCCTAATATTATACGTGTCTTCTCTTTCGTAGGCCAGGCCAAAGTCAGTATAAGTTAATGTGTCGATTTAATTGTAATTATAATATCCAGTATTACAAGTGATAAAATAATTCCGTCCAGTGTGACTGTTGAAGCTTTTACTACTTCACTTCTTAGCAGCCTAACATGTTTCGGTCCCGATAGACCATCATCAGAGGGAACATCAATACTTTCTGGAACTACTATTACACTGGGTGTTTTGATTTTTAAAATACATAAATATACAATATTTGTAATATACACTTTATACAAAATCCAAATTTCTTACAACTACAGCAACTGTCCTTGATGCATTAATTTTTTTTTTAACTTTTTGTTATTTAAGTTAAAATTCTTTAACCGAATAGGTTCGTGTCCCTTGTCCTTTCGTTTTTCTTGACGGGGCCGAACTTGTGCCGCCTGTCTTTCTTGGGAAGGTAGTTCTTGTTGTCGTCCTATGTTTGTTCCTAGCGTGCTGTGTTGTTTTTACTGTAAAACAGAATCATAGTAATCATAATCAGAATCATAATATCCAATGTTCCAAAGTCTCACAACAGAAATCGCCCAGATTTCACGTTCCTTAAGAGGAACGAATTATGGGTGCATTTAAATATTCCAGTCGCTGTTGAACGTCAGAGACATAGCATTACCTGCCCTTATTGCTGATGCATTTTGCAGAGGCGGTAGGCAACATTAATATACGGAGATATGTGAAATGTGTGCAACAATTTAGTCGGAAATATTGTCGGGAAGATGTCGTAAATGGGGGAAAGTAAAACTATGGATCTTGAAGATGTGGGGGTACAGACTGACTGACTAATAAATTGCGGCTGGCCCTCGCCAGCATAGTGATTGTTGGTTTCGAGTCCCAAAGAGAGCAATGACCACATTTCACCGTCCTACGGCTCTGGGAGCCGTAGAATCGATTCGTTTGGCACAGTACACGGATCAGTGGCGGATTGTTTAGAAAATGGATACAAAATTTTTGGTTAATTTTTCAACTGTTAGTTTGACAGGAAAAATTCTGATTGATGGAGTTGGATAATTTAGTGGTAATATTAATGTAATTTGTGAATAATGATAAACGAGTAGGTAGTAATTAATGCATTTAAAATGTTTAAGAAATGCCTTATGAGGAATACCAAGGTGAAGGCCCCTGTGAAAAGCAACATTTCTGACGACGTCATTTTGGACGCTACTCATATAAGTGTCAGTCTCAACCCTTCGCTTGGTTGAATAATTTTTTTATTAGCAGGAGTTAACATGTTAACATGGGAGTACGGAAAAGGAATACAAAATTCTGGAAAATCATGAAATGCGAATAGAGATGTAAGGCGAGAATCACGTCACAAAAATAAATTTATAAGAGTGCCCAGTAAATACCCCTCGACAATGTGGGGGTACAGACCGTCACGAGCCGTGCTCAGACAACATTCAGACGTACGAGTCTGTAAGGGCTGATATAAAAGAGTGCTTGTCTGTGACACTAAGTTTACAAGCGGCGCCATTGCACAAGTTACGAGCGTTTAAGAGCTGAGGAAAAGTATCTACGGTTCTGATATTTAAGCAGTGGGCTTCTGTTCTGAGGACACATCCACAATTGTCGGAATCTTTATATTTTTGTCCACCTCAAGACCACAGACTTTTGTCCGCTGTGTTCAACAGTTTATCATCAGAACTCATAAAGCCGTGTCAGGAGAAATTCAACTTAACCACTTGCCTCTGTGGAAAGGAGAAACCTCCTCAAAGCGATTGGTGTCACTAGGTCTTACATCTGATTAAAGAGACATTTAGAAGATATCCCAGGACAATTCTGCATAAATAGGGGGGCCAGTTTATCGAGAGAAAGTATAAATGTTCCTTCTTTCCGTTAGATTTAATTAATTGTAACATAAAACAATCTATTTGGAAATAATAAACATAACTGGTTTATAACATCATGGTTGATTAAGTTAATACATTTCGTGTCATATGCTGATATTCATTAAATAAAGCTATCCCTGTAACAGGCGCGGAGGCACATAGGGTTGTGAGACGTTGAGGGTCCCACGTTATTTAGATAATCGGCTCACAGATGGCGGTAAGGTTGTCAGTCTTATGCGCCGGTCGCCCTTTAGCCCCCCCCCCCGGAAGATTCCTGGTATTTATTTCTGTTAGAGGCTGAGTCGACCGCAGGACCATAATGCGGCTGGAAGGATCAGGTCAGTCGAAAAAAATCCACCTCATCGGGACTCGAACCCGGGCCTTCCGAGTTGTTGCATAGTGTCTCAACCAACTACGCTACCGCGTGCTCCCGATATTCATTAAGTACTGACGTATTAAGAGAGTAACGCAGAAGAGCAAAATCCTTCCTGAGAAGTTCATTTTTCGCACAACTTTTCAAGAAATTCCGTTATTTTCAGTATAAAACGAAATATTTTATATGATATATAATATTTTCTTAGAGCCTTATATGTTATATCCGCTTTCTGGCCCATTTTCTGGTCAACCACACACAACACGTACAGGTGGAAGTGCCAGAAGAAATATGCAATATCTTCTCTGCGTTGTCATTGACAAACCTCTTGCCAGTACTTGTATTTAGCACGACATTGCTTCTTAGTCTCTCTTACAAACGAGGTAACTCCTGCGAATTATGCAACCTGCAGGACACTGATAGGGGGACGGCCGTTTCGCCTTCTCCACTCAGTAGTTCGTCTGAGAGCAATCAGCAGCTGTGTGTGCCGGCCGGCGGGCGTGAGGACGCGTGAGCATTGCAGAATGTGACAGCAAGGATGCAGACGACCCTCCAGGACTTCTGAAACAACCGCATTGAATGTGACAACAAAAATTGCAACTGTGGAATTATATCAAAGAAATGAAATCATTGATGCGTAATATACAAATTTCTGTGTGTTGAGTATTTTGCGGAAACTGCGAACTTGCAATGCAAAAGTGAAACTAAATTAATCGTACACGGCCTGTAGAATATTATATTAAATACTTTACAATATCAGTTCAGAAAGCAACAATGGCATAACCACAACGATTCATAAAGTAGAAGCACACGATGAATTACTTACAGACGTTTTGAAAGTATTTAAATGTGTATGGAACATTTGGCGAGGAATCTTAAGGCTGTTTTGTGTGTGGATTTGTAGACATGCGAACAAAATTCGAATATTCAATAAGAGCGATCACATTGTTATATTGCATTCAAAACTGTGGAGTGATTTTTAACTCAGAATAGAATATTAATTTAAAATAGTTTTCAACAAACCACGTGGACTATTTGGCGAAGAAATAGAAGAATTTCAGTAAAATTATAGTGATAGAGATTCAGTTCCTGCGAGAAGTCTTTGAAAACATAGAAAATGTGATGAAATAATTATAATCTTACTGAGATGAACTGTTAATCCGTACGTGTTCCTTCAGTTTAGCACACGCAGAGTACAGAAACTTCCACGTCCCACAAGCGAAGGTAAATATTTCTCTCTTTGAAAGATTTAAACCCGTGAATTGATCTTCAAAATGACCATGACGTTTGCACCCACTGACCTCTTTCAAATTACGACTGGAATCAGTAGAGGCTAACGCAGTCTCTGATGTGGTTGACTTGTTTTCTGTTGTTTTTGCATGCGAAATTTTTATCCATATCAGTAAGTTCCATCACTCGGCATTTAGGGAACCGTGTGTAAGAAAAGACACTTTGCAAACCTGGAGTGAACTTTGTGGACGAAAACGGAAATGTAAAATATTTTGTTATAAAATATATCAAAAACAGTCCTTGGCCAAGCAACAACGTGGCAGTGGCGCTCGGCCAAAGTGCACGTGCTGCATAATCGCACTATGCATAAAACGTGATGTCCTAACCGGACTTGACTTACACCACGCCTTTGGTATGTATATATTTTGGAAATATTTTCAAAAGATTTTGATACATGTCTCTCTCCTATTTTCCCACAAGCATTATCTACTAGCGCTTTGTTGCAGGCCTGTATTCAATTTCTCTGAAATCTATGAAGAAGCTCGTTTAGAAATTCTTGCGTTTTACAGAAACTTAAGTTTCGTTATCGTGTTTACAAGAGCCTCTGTCCTGAGCCGGATGAATGGAATCAGCACTTCCACACACGATTCATTTATGATATTTTTCAATATTATCCTGATATACATGGCTACGTCTCAGAATATTATTATTGTTAGGCTCTACAGCCCTTTGTTGGGCCTTGGCCGTTTTCCATTCTTTTAATCCCATAGACAGTAGGTAAGACTCCTTGGACGAGGATCAGCATGTCGCAAGGCCTCAACATACCCACAGAATGATACAAACACAGAATAAACACACACAGAAAACCATGCATTGAAGGGTATTCGAATCCACGATCCCAGTGTTTGAGCGGAAGAAGACAGTTCGTCCTTAGACCCCGTGGCTATTGTGATCGGCTTTCCAAGTTGTTTGTTTCCTTCAAAATTTTCCGGCTAAAATTTTATATACATTTTGTCATCTCTCAATTACATGCTGTATATTTATTTCAATTTGAGTGCAATTTCTCATCACGTAATGACCTCATATTGGTGTATTTGGATCAAAATATTCTCCCTTTTAATAATACCAGTTCTAGTACTTTCCTTCAGGCTGAGAAAACAAATGTCGTAATTGAAGAAAGCAGTCTTCTGGGATTTGGCACCGTGTATATGTGGTGTTAACCGACGTTTCGGAGGAACGTATCGCCTCCATNGTCGTAATTGACGAGAATGAAGGCTGCAGGGGAATAAACTAATTGCATTGAAGCCAGTGATACCAGAAAATACGGCCACAGAGCATATTGCTATTTATTACTGCTTTTCAAGAATTCCTGCACAGTGACATAATTTTTCCACTGATTTCTATATGTTAGGCGCTAAAGAGGAAAGGCAGTAAAGTGGATTCCGATATGGATTCGTTATTACTTGGTTTATCTTATTAGAGATTCCACTGAAAGTAGTAAACAGTTTGTGTCAAGAAACTAAAGTGCCTAGACAGGCTGTAAATATTCAGGATGAAGTGTGAATTGGAGAGTAAGACGTCGTTGAAAAGGAAAGATAGCTTTACAGCGTCAAACTTTCGGGCATTATCGCAAAGTCGTGCACAGCCATGTCCAAGTCTCTTTACTCAGAAAAGGAAACAACCTTATATGCCTACCCTTGATGGCATGTTAGTGACGACAGCAGTTGTGTCAGAAAGATGTTCACCCAATCTGATGCCTAAAAATTAAGTTTCCAAAAGCAAACGACTATAAGTTCTTTATATTGTCACGTGTTAGAATGTGACTATCGACGGGGGATTGGATTGGAGAATGGATTTATTGACCAATTCAACACACGACTCGTGAATACACTTAATTATAGCGCCATATCTGATTTCCACACTTTACAGATCACTAGAGCGCATAGTCTAGTGTTCTAAGTCTGTTACCAGATGTTTCCTGGTAACGGATTCTAACAAGGGCTATTCCTCTGTTTCCGGCTCAAGTCATCTCTGATTCGTGGCTCCTTCCAACTGACTATTGCTCAAAATCAGTTACTTTACCACTGGCGGTTTACCGCCAATCAGTTGGTCTTGGCGCAAAGCCCTTTGAGACTCACGACCAGGGATGTTTTTTCCAACTGAACCCTTGCTGTCGTAGTCCGTATGTATTATCATCTCTGATGGGTTTCTGTTATAAATAGGATTGGCCTTTCGTCAAATGTACGTATCTCACATACTAAAAATTCTTCCTTTTGCACTATATACAAGTCCTCTGCCTGTACAAGCTTTGCTAAGCAGATCATAATTATCTTACCTATCTTATGCTACAACGGCAGCTTAGTCACTTGAACGGTCATAAGCTTGACCACCGCCAAGTTTAAGCCTTTTATATCTTCTATGTCTGGCTTCGCCTTGTCCTATGCTGCGAAAGTGTTCATTCTCTTGATTTTGCATGACTTCTACTTGTTGCCTGTACAATTTTGTTATTATAATCGTATACATACGGACGATTGAAAGCCTTATGTAAATCGCGGACCGGTGTTCACATTGGTGCGGAGAACCTTGTTTTGCAGGCGCTGCAGTTTGAAGTGGTAGGTGTCTGCCACCTAATTCTCAGGCGGGGTAAGCATAAGTCATTACTGTTCTGATTAGTGCCTTATGTAGGGTTAGTTTAATGTTGGCTCTTAAACGTTCACGTTTGAACTCAATATTCTTGTTTCAATGTCCTTCTTATAACCAATTTGCACGAACCTAGTAGAAAACAGTTTATCTGTTGCTGTACAATTATTGCGTTCATGTTTGTTGCGGTTCCCACATGATCGCTACTCAGCCAGTCCATTGGTGCTCTGGTGGCTGCCTAGTGACGGCTGTTTGTCTCGTTTGTTTCACTGTCGTTGCCTAGCAATGATCCTGCATGCTACAATATGTAGTGCCTGCATTATAATGGGTATGAAACATGGTCTGTCACTATAAGCCAAGCATAGAGACTATATATGAAGTTTGAGTGGCACCTTCTGTCATCTGACATCATACAGTCTTGTAGGTGAATGTAAATATTTCGGAAGAATATGTTGCTTGTGTCTTCTAGGCCGAAATTCTAATCCTAAACCTAGGGGCACCATGTTATTCTGAAAGGTTGTATCAACCTATAGTACTATACGGCACCACAAGCAAGAGACCATCATCCGTACACTCACTGTCTTAAAAATCTCAAATCTTAAATGCCTCTAACTCAGTGTTCCGCAACCTTTTTCTACTCACGGCACACCATGAAGTATCCATGACTGAACGCGGCACACAAAAATGTTATTCCCCTCAAAAACGCATGATATCAGACAATTAATATAAATACGTAACGTGATCAACATATTACTATAATATTACTATTAAACAGAAATCGACTCTTGCATTTATTAACAATTAATGAATTTTAATTCACTGTAGAGTGTAGAAAATGCACTTCTATTACTATTAAAGTAAATACAGTAATTCTACTCATGCCTTCAATGTGATACTTGCGCCTGCGTAGCTGTACACAGACGATTGATCCGTGGTGGAATCGTTGACAACGCAAGTCTCATTTCTTCATCGATGGATTTGAGCCGCTCCCTCTATGATGTCTTAATTTCAGTTAACGCCGAGAAGCCCAGTTCACACAAATATGCAGTTGAAAATGGCAATAACACATTAACTGCCATCTCGAAGATAGCCGGGTATGCACTCCTTATTGCAAACCAAAACGTATCCAAAGGCACTTCAAGAAGTTTTAGTTTCAATGTTCTGTCTGCTTTTAAATCTTCGAGTTCCTCTTGTATATTAATCGGAAGATGTTCTGAATTCGCAACAAATGGATCACGAACCCAGTCGAAATCTTGTACACTCTCTCCAAAATACTTATTGAATTTCTGCTGAAGCATATCTAAATGTTCTTTAATTGTGTCCATCACCACTTTATTGCCGTCACCAAGTGTCCATACAGTCGGGAACATCTCAAATGACCCATCTGTAATTCTCTGTATCCACAAATTCATCTTATTTACAAATCCTTGTATCGTATCCATATTAGTTAGAATATTTTCGTTCCTACCTTGCATCTTTCTGTTCAGCTCATTCAAGTGTACGAAAATATCGGAAAGATATGCCAACTTACATACCCATTCATCATCTGCAAATAAATCCGCGTACTCATGCCCCTCAACAGTCCAAAATGCACGTACCTCCTCATTAAGTTCAAATATTCGCGACCTCTGTATGTAGTAGGAGTGTAGTGTGTTCTGATTCCATTTCCTGACACAAAACGGAAAAACGCCGCGAATTTAGGGGCCGCGATTTGATGAGGTTCACGACTTTTACTACTTCGTCCAGCACAACTTTCAGAGACGATGGCAAAGTCTTAGCAACAATGGCTTCGCGGTGAATGAGGCAATGATCGCATCGTATCTTAGGATTTACTTTGCGTACTTCAGCTACAAATCCTTTAACACGGCCTGTCATAGAAGTGGCTCCGTCTGTTAGGATTTACTTTGCGTACTTCAGCTACAAACCCTTTAACACGGCCTGTCATAGAAGCGGCTCCGTCTGTACAAACACTAACGCAATCCTTCCATTTTAATTCATTATGTAACACATATTCATTAGTGACAAGAAATACTTTTTCGCCGGTGGCTCGTTCGGGATCTTCTTTGCAAAAAAGGAAATTTGTTGCAATTATATCTCCATGGATGTATCGAATGTAAGCAAGAAGTTTTGCGTGGCGTCTAATATCGATGAACTCGTTGATCTGAAGCGAGAACTTCTGACTGCTGTTGATTTTCTCCTTAATAATGGCTTCAATTTCACTGGACATATCAACAACTCGGCGACTGGTTGTTTCAGCAGAGAGAGGAATTGTTGAAATTTCACTAGCAGCTTCTGAACCCAGGACTATTTTCACCATCTCTTTACAAACAGGCATTAACATTTCAGCTATTGTG